TCCATATAAATTTGAGGATTGGCTTTTCCATTTCTGCAAAGAAGGCTGTTGGAATTTCGACAGGGATTACATTGAATTTATAGATTGCTTTGACATCTTAACTATATTAAGCCTTCCAATCCATGAACACAATGTCCTTCCGTTTTTGTAGGTCTTCTTTATTTTAGTAGTGTATTATAGTTTTCTGTGTACAAGTCTTTTACCTTCCTGGTTAAATTTATTACTAGGTGCTTTATTCTTTTTAGATGCTATTGTGAAAGGTAATACTTCCTTAATTTCTTTCCACTTGCTCACTGTTGATGTATTAATAAGACTTTTTTAATAGCAGTTTTATTGAAATATAATACACATGCTATGAAATTCACTCTTTTAAAGTGGTTCAGTGGTTTTAGTACACTCACAAGGTTGTGGAACCATCTCCACTACCTAGTTCCAGAACATTTTCATTCACCCAAACAGAAACCCTGTACACATTAAGCGGTAACTCCCATTCCCCTTTCTCCAGCACCTGGTAACAACTAGTCTGCTTTCTGTCTCTAAGGATTTACCTATTCTGGACATTTCGTGTCAATGGCGTCATACGATATATGGTCTTTTGTGTCTCAGCATAATGTTTTCAAGGCTCATCCATGTTGTGGCATGTATCAGAACTTCCTTTCTCTTTATGGCTGAGTAGCATTCTATTGTTTGGATGGACCACAAGTTGATGGATGGACATTTGGGCAGTTTTTACTTTTTGGCTATTGTGAATCATGGTGTTATGAACATACATGTACAAGCTTTTGTTTGAACACCTATTTTCAATTCTTCCGGGTATATACCTAGGAATGAAATCACTGGGTCATATGGTAATTCTGTGTTTAACTTTTTGAGGAACCACTAAACTGTTTCCCACGGCTGCTGCGCCATTTTACATTCTTCCCAGCAATGCACAAAGGTTCCAGTTTCTCCATCTTCTCGGCAATGCTTGTTAATGTTCATGTTTTTGATCATAACCATTCTAGTGGGCATGCACTGGTATCTTGTTGTGGTTTTGATTTGCATTTTTCTGATGACTAATGATGGTGAACATCTTTTCATGTGTTTGCTGGCCATTTGTGTATCTTCTTTGGAGAAATGTCTGTTCAAGTCCTTCACCCATTTTTAAGTCAAGTTGTCCTTTCATTGGTAATTGTAAGAGATCTTTATATACTCTAGACACAGCCCCTTACCAGACATGTGATTGCAGATGTTTTCTCCAAGCCTGTGGGTGGTCTCACTGTCTCAATGGTGCACCCGTGAAGTTGGAACATGTGGTGCTTCGTGTTGACCTGGTGGGACTGGTACCCCCTTGGCCTGTGTTCGTTTCCAAAAACACCGTGTGGGGGTACTGACGATGTTCCCAATAACCTCTTGAGACAGGGACATCACAGCATTCCCAAGAAGGTGTTGGCCAGGTGTGCTCTAAGCATCTTGCCCTGCCTGTGGTGCTGGGTATGCTGGCTGACAGCCTTGGGGGGTTCTAGTTGCTCATCTCCTCCATGTCACTGCACTACTTCTGGTCAAGGACGTTGTACTGGGAGTTGCCCAGGGCTCACCTCTCCAGCTCCACCTTTCAAGTAGCCGGAGTCAGTGCCTGTGTCTCCCAGACCAGCTGTCATATCTTGGGCCTGCTGTGGGTTTGTGGGCGGTGGGCTGTGTTCTGTGGGATGTGAACTGGGGGCTGTGGGCTGTGGGACGTGGGTCATGGATTGTGGGCCGTGGGACCTGGGCCATGTGCTGTGGGCCATGGGCCATGTGATGTGGGACGTGGTCCATTGGATGTGGGCCATATGCTGTGGGGCGTGGTCCGTGGGCTGTGGGCCATATGCTGTGGGATGTGGTCCATGGGCTGTGGGATGTGGGCCATGGGCTGTGGGGCGTGTGCTATGGGTCAGCAGCCAGTGCTACCAAAGAGGATGTGACACCTGCTGTTGTTGTGGCCGGGGGGCAGAAGTGGCCTCAGCAGGTGCTGGGTTCTTTGATCCTAATGCCCCATCTCATTTACCTCAAGGCGGAGGGGTACACTTAAAGCCAGGCAGATGGAGAAAGCTCCAGACCAGCCAGGTGGCCCCATGCCATACATCTTTGATTTCTTGACTGCTGCTTCCATGGACATCGATTGTTGATCCAAGTAGCATGAAGTTGTTGACAGCTTCAATGTTTTCTCCATTTATCATGATGATGTTTATCAGTTCAGTTGTAAGGATTTTCGTTTTCTTCACGTTCAGGTGTAATCCACACTGAAGGCTACAGTCTTTGACCTTCATCAGTAAGTGCTTTATGTCATCTTCACTTTCAGCAAGCAAGGTGGTGGTATCTGCATATCACAGGTTATTAATGCGTCTTCTTCCAATCCTGATGCTGCATTCTTCATATTGTCTGGCTTTTCGGATTATTTGTTCAGCATACAGATTGAATAAGTAAGGTAGAAGGATACAACCCTGCTGCACGCACACCTTTTCCAATTTTAAACCACACAGTATCCCCTTGTTCTGTTCAAGTGACTACCTCTTGGTCTGTGTCCAGGTTCTGCGTGAGCACAACTAAGTGTTCTGGATTACCATTCTTTGTAATGTTATGAATAATCTAGAAGACACTAGATGCGTGTGCTCTGGGTATTGGGAGTCTCCGGGACCACCTTTCTCCAGAGTCGACAAAGGACAAGTCTAAAGTGCCTGGTGCCTTGCCTCTGGGGGCTTCCCTAAACAAGAGCTGCCCTGCCGTGTGACTCAGGGTCCAGGTCTTACCCCATCCCTGGACCTGCTTCGTCTGCGCAGGGGGGACCTGCACCCGCCCTGCACCTCAGTCACGGGTGTGCTGGGTCCTGGTAGTCTGGTACTCCCCACCCCGGAAGCCACGCTCTGAGGTTTCCCAGCCGTGTTAGACGGCACCAGGCTGTGGCTTTTCCCCGGGCAGGAGCTTAGCCTCGTCTTTGTGCCCTAGTTCAGTGTTTGCTCAGACAGGAAGCCCCACCCTGCGCAGTGTCACTGGCCCTGAACTCGCTGGGACTGTCGGTGCCCAAACAGTGCAGGGAGGGGCTCCCACCTAGGGCGCTGTCGGAGCCTTTGTGAGACTGGTGCATAGAGGGTATTTCAGTTGTCTCCCTCCCTGGGTGATTGATTACTCCAGGCCTTTGAGGAAGTCTCTGTGCTGAGTCTTCAGATGCCTCAGAGGCTTTTCCCAGGGGAGGAGGACGCTGGGCATGTGGACTTTGACTCCCAACACAGGGTTCCAGGTCTTTCTTCCCTTGCTGGGAGTGGCCACTGCCTCTACAGGACAAAGGCCTCACAGCACCCACCTCCTATCCTGGCCAGAGGCCAAGTGGTTCCTGGAGTGGCGTTCTGAGGACAAGACTTCCTGCCCCTCATGCCAGCCCCGCCCTGTCAGGCCTCACAGGGTGCTGGACTCCTGATTGCCCCCATACCAGGCCTTGTTCAGAGACAACGCCCCCGGGGGTAGGATCCTGCCCAAGCCCCGACCGGGTCTAATTCTGTGTCTCCAGAATGAGAGGAGCTGCTACGAGTAGGCGTAGGCTAGAGGGCCCATCCACACTGTCCTCCCTCCTGTGCCGACCAGAGCTCGGGCGGCAGAACCCCCAGGGTCAGCTTGGGGCAGTGACTGGGTTGTCTTGTAAAAGGTATCTCTTCATGGTCTCCAAATGGCTTGTTTTGTGTTGCCTGGTGGCCCAGACACTAGCATGGCTGTGCCCACTGCCCTGGGGCACCCCAGGACCCTCTATCAGCCTGCACCCCCTGCCAGGGCAGCAGGACACGTCCTTGGGCCAACACGTCACATGCTCCTCACTCCAGCCTGGGTGCCGTATCTGGTAGCTCTGAGCTCCTGGAGGCTGCCAACTGCTGGATGGGGGTCCGTCCACATTCCAAAGACTGCCCGCTGTGAGTGTTTTACAGACGGACTTCTTGCAGTCCTGAGCCATTGGGATATCTGGGGGACTGCAAGGGGTCATTCCCTGAGACCCCCACTGAGCACCTGCTCAGGCTGCAGACACGTTGCCCTTCAGCAGCCAGGGTTCCTCTGGTGCGGGAGCCTGGTTCACGGGGTGGGCACAGCCGTCGGCAGAACCCGCACGGGGTTGGCACTCTACCCAGAACCCACTGCAGCTGCGAGGGTGAGGTCATCAGTCCTGGTCGTGACAACAGTGCCACAGAGCCTGCTCTGTTGGTGATTGGCGGCTCTTCCCGGGGGGATGGCAGCTTCTTGCTTACCTTCATGTGTGCTGTGTGCAGCCTCCTGGCCCTTAGTCTTGGTGCACCCCATCAGTGCCCCCCAGGCAAGGCTCTTGGGGTCACACCTGGAGCCTCGGTGGTCCCAGTGTTGCCAACGCAGTTTTCTCTTTTGCCCACAGGTGTCCTCTGAACCCCCGGCCTCCATAAGACCCAAGGCGGACGACCCCTCCTCCCAGTCCCCTGCCGCCGCAGAGAAGGACAAACAGTCCAGCTGGCTGCGGACCCTGGCTGGTTCCTCCAATAAGGTGCTGCTGCAGGATCTCCCTTTGTGCACCCTGGGTTGAGGGGTCCTTGGTTGGGAGCCTCCATTCTGCCCGGAGCCCTGCTCCTCACACAGTACTCCTTCTGCAGAGCCTGGGCTGTGTGCACCCACGCCAGCGCCTCTCTGCCTTCCGACCCTGGTCCCCTGCGGTCTCCACCAGCGACAAGGAGCTCCCCTCTCACCTCCCAGCACTGATTCGAGACAGGTGGGCGCCCCTGACTCTGCGGCCGTCCATGATGCCCCACTGTCAACAGTGATGTGCTGAGCAAGGTGTTTTCTTTACTGAGCAGAGAAACATGGCTGTTTTAGACTTGGTGACTGAATCGTGTTTTCTAAATAAATGGGGTCATAAGCAATTTGGGGGAGTTTCTGGGGTAGTGACGCTTTGTACTCTAAGGGGGCTCATCTGTGCCCACCCAGCACCCCTTCCACACTCTTTAGAGTGTGCTAGTGCAAAATCACACGTGCTTATGGAGGATTTCCAGTGTGGAGTCCTTGCCCAGCCCCCGCCCCCCTCGAGGTATGTGGGGGCGTGTTCCCTCAAATTCACAGCACCTTGGCTGTGGCCTCGTGACTGAGCTCCTCTCACTGCCTGTTGAGACGTCTTCCGCAGCCCTCGCTCTGCCGAGTCCCTGCAGTGGCGGTGGCAGTGCAGCTGCTCTGTGAGGAGGGCTCATCCTGGCTGAGCTGATTTAGGTCGGCTCCACTTCTTAGTCCTCACAGAGGCTGCTTCTGAGCATGCACACACGTGTGCACGCACAGGTGTCTGTGGGCTAGGTGCCCAGAAGCCCCAGAAGTGTGGGTCCTTTGACACCTGGGGCACCCTACCCTGGGCCTTCCTGGAGGGCTGTGGGGGGGGCAGTGCCACTGCTTGGCGCAGGCCAGCCATGGACCTAGCGGCCACCACTGATATCCCTGCTGCACTGGGAGCCCGTGGTTCTTGGTCCTTGGAAGTCTGATGTTCAGATGTCCGAGGCGAGCGCATCTGCAATGGGGGCTTGCAGCAGGTGGGCAGCCCTCAGGCGCAGGCGCTGCCCACTCTGGTGGCCCGGGGCTGCACAGCAGGTGCTGTAGGGCCTAGGGCTGGGTGCATGTGTGCTGAGAGGGTCTGGCAGTGGGCAAACACAGTGCTCCAATACCTGCTGCCCTCCGCAGTTTCTACTCCTATAAGAGCTTTGAGACAGCTGTGGCCCCCAATGTGGCCCTCGCTCCGCCGGCCCAGCAGAAGGTTGTGACTACTCCGCCATGTGCCACCGTTGTCTCCCGGGCCCCCGAGCCCCTCTCCGTGTCCATCCAGCCGCGGAAGCGGAAGCTGGCCGAGGAGAACCCTGTGGTCCCCGAGACCTTGGTGCCTCTCGCTGCTCCGGAGGAGGACAAGGACTCGGAGGCTGAGGTCGAAGTTGAAAGCAGAGAGGAATGTAAGTGTGAGTGGAGTTTTCTCTTTTACGCCCTGTGGACGCTGCCAAACTTGGGTGTGGGGCAGGCCTGGGGCCCCTCAGGTTGGCAAGGGGTGGTGCGTGGGGCCCCTTGGGTGGGTGTGGGAGCACGTGGGCCCCTCACCATGGGCATGGCTCTGGGGTTGTCAGCGCAGGCTCTGCCCAGGCAGTCAGGGTGTGGGGCATGTGCACTCCATTGTGTGCACCCACCTCAGCACAGAGCACCACATGATTTCATGTGTGGCTGTGACACAGCCGCAGCCCAGCCCTGACTGAGGAGCGCGTTGTGATTTCGGGTGGTATGCCATCCTTTGCAGTGTGTTCTTTAGCATTGGGTTTGTTGTTTATTTCTGCAGTCACCTCCTCCCTGTCTTCGCTCTCGTCCCCGTCCTTTACCTCGTCCAGCTCCGCCAAGGACCTGAGCTCCCCCAGCGTTCATGCCCCTCCCACTGCCAGCGCCGCTCTGGATGCTGCAGCCCACGCCACCGAGGCCCCGGGTGGCGGGCTAGAGGCGGAGCTGGAGCACCTGCGGCAGGCGCTGGAGAGCGGCCTGGACACCAAGGAAGCCAAAGAGAAGTTCCTGCACGAGGTGGTGCGGATGCGCGTGCGGCAGGAGGAGAAATTGAGCGCCGCCCTACAGGCCAAGCGCAGCCTCCACCAGGTGCGGCCCCTCCCAGCTGCCCAGACTCCCGGGGGCCATGGCCCTGGTATGGGGGCCTCTCTGACATCAGATGGCCTCTCGGGGAGGCCCCATGTGCTAGCCCCCTGATGAGTCACACACCCTGCTTGGTGCCACATAATGATGCGGAGTGCTGCTTGGGCATAGTGAGCTGGGCTATTTTTAGTGGAAGGAGTTAGGAGCAGCTGCGCCCAAGACAGTTTCACACTCTGTGTGCCAGAAGTGGGTACACGAATTCCCCGCCAGCAGGGCCTGTTGTCTGCAAAAGGCATTTTAGTTGACGTGGACCCGGAGCTCTGTGTTCTGGGAGGGGGCGGCCACAGCACCCTGAGCTGTGAGCATGTAGGCAAGACACAGGGGTCTCCATGCAGCCCACTGCGGGCGGGGAGGGCTCTGGGCACACCTGTACACAATCCCACACACACCCTGCACGCACCTCCGCCCACCTCCACCTCTGCACTCACCTCCACGCGTACGCACCTCTATATGCACCTCTGTGCACATGCCCTACACTAACCTCCACACACCTCCACCCACACGCCTGCACCCACTTCCACGAACATGACCCACACCTGCCTCCACACAGTAGCCCACATGCACCTCCACATACTTGGCCCACATCCACCTCCATGCACACATTCCGCACATGCTCCACATGCATGTCTATGCACACGGCCTGCACCCACCTCCACGTAAGCACCTCCATGCACATGCCCAGCACCCAGCTCCACACACACGCCCCACACGCACCTCCATGCACATGCCCCACACACATCTGCACGCACATGCCCCCACACACGTGCTCAACCCTCCACATACTTGCACACACACGCATATGCGCTCTCACCCCACACTCCCGCTCCCCTCTCCTATGCTCCCCACTCCTCCCACATACACCCCACATCTCCAGTTTCTTGGCCACTCCATTGTCTTGCTGTTTCCCACACAGTGGGTTCTGGATGATTCCAGCCAGAGCGACTGCTGTCTGTTGAAGAGGGTGTTGGAGCACACCCCCTCAGCACTGTCCTAAGCTGCAGCATCAGCTCCCGCTCTAGCCCTTTGCATCTGTTTCATTTCTTTTCTGACACAAACAAGGTAGTGGGGCCTGGTGGGTGGGCACACAGGAAGCTCTGGGTGGTGCCTGCAGACCCCTGGCAGGACAGAGCACAGGGGAGGGTGCAGGCAGCCTCAGGGGGCTGGGGCTTCCACACACACACCAGCTGAGGGAACACCTCAGCGGACACTGTGGCATCAGGCAGGACTGGCAGTTCGGGGACAGCTTCGCGAGCAGCAGGGTCTCACCCTGTGCAGCCCTGCACGGCCCTGCGATCCTCTGGGCTTCAGGGTGTGAACGCAGCCATCTGGGTATGTTTCAGCTGCATGCTCAGAGTCTGCTTGGTGGGGTGGCTTGCATGTGCACATTCATAAGACGTGGTGGCAGGAATGTGGGGTAGGGCTCAGGGAGGCAGCGTCCCCATCTGGCTGTGTGGACAGCTGGCCCTCGGTGCCCCATGGCTGAGCCCTGTGTCAACAGGAGCCAACAAGCATGACGGGCTGCCCGCTCTGGCCTCGGAGGGCGTTCTTCTGCCTCTGCCCTGCAGCAGGGTACAGAGGGGGCTTACTGTCTCTGCCTGATGAGGTGCTGAGGCCTTACAGCTTGGGGGTAGGTGCTGGCTGCCCCGCCGGACCTGAGAAAGGCGTATTGGAGCAGACAACCCCATTGTATGGGACGTTGTTGGAGGGCTGGGGGGACGAGGCCCACCAGAGGGGCTGCTGGGCAGGGGGTGTGGCTGCAGACGGGTAGCAGGGTTGGGGAGTTGGTGGGGTCCCCAGCTCCCTGAACGGCCTGCGTCTTGCCCCAGGAGCTGGAGTTCCTGCGCGTGGCCAAGAAGGAGAAGCTGCGGGAGGCCACAGAAGCAAAGCGCAACCTACGGAAGGAGATCGAGCGGCTGCGGGCTGAGAACGAGAAGAAGATGAAGGAGGCCAACGAGTCACGTGTGCGCCTCAAGCGCGAGCTGGAGCAGGCACGGCAGGTCCGAGTGTGTGACAAGGGCTGTGAAGCCGGCCGCCTGCGTGCGAAGTACTCAGCCCAGGTATACAGAGGAGGGGATGGAGTGGGCTGGTGGGACCCTGGCCCCCAGTCCCTGGCCACATGGAGTCATAGTGAACCACAGCGCCCACGAGGCCTTTCTTCCCAGGCATGGGAAGGGTGCCCCTGGACTGCCCGTAGGTGGCCCCACCCAGCAAACCAAAATGGTCTTGCAATGACAGAATGGGCCTGGGCCCTCCCACCCTGGGGCTGCCCTCAAGGCCTGCCCAGGCCCTGGTCGTTAACTCATTTCCTTGTCAGAGGGGTGCCTCACCCCAGGGTGCAGAGGGGCAAGGCAGGGGTGGCTGCTGCTGGCATGTGGGGCAGCAGGGTGCTGTGCAGCCCTGACACGGCATCTCTCTGCAGATCGAAGACCTGCAGGTGAAGCTGCAGCACGCGGAGGCAGACCGGGAGCAGTTGCGTGCTGACCTGCTGCGGGAACGTGAGGCCCGTGAGCACCTGGAAAAGGTGGTGAAGGAGCTACAAGAGCAGCTGTGGCCCCGGCCACGTGGCGAGGCGGCGAGCAGTGAGAGCACGGTTGAGCTGGAGCCGTAGGGACCCCTCTGCCGCGCTGCGTGTGCGGGACGGCACGTGTCGGGATGGGGTGGGTGCTCGGCGCCGTGGCCGAGGAGGCGCCACAGGCCTGCATCCACACCCCCTCGGCTCACACAGCACAACGTCTTACTGTGCCTATAACCAAGCGAGTGTTTCTAACCACATACTTTTGGAATCCACTGCAGAATTTTCTACTGGCCAATTCAAGGGAGCAAGCCGCCCTCTAGCCCCGCTGGCAACGCCAGGCACCGTGGTCGTGGCTCCAGGCGGTCCTCCACTTGCTAGGACGTTTTAACATTTACACTTTTGTTATAAGCTATTTAAAACCAATAAAGAGACTTGATATTCAGAAAAATCAATACGTTTTTTAATGACTGACTTTTGAAAGCCCCACCAACACTCGGCGCCCTGCCTGAAGACCCGCTAAGGAAGCCCGGGGTGGCGCTACACAGCCCGCCTGGCCCTGGGAAGCCATCGCAGCTCATTCCGCCCCCACGGCCAGCGAGGAGGACACCGGAGGGATTTTCTTCAGAGTCTATTTTTTAAGCGACAAGGACCCGGTTTTCCTGCAGTGCCAGGAAGCGTGAGGAGAGCGCCGTGCAAGAGAAATGAGCTGCAACACTGCCCGCCTTACTGACGTCCGCCCTGGTCCCGCACCATCACCGTGGCTATCAGCATGCGTGTCCAGAACACACGCCGAGGGGCAGAGCCCACGGAGGGCGTCGAGTCCCCCACACACCCATGCCCCCAACCGAGCGGGATTGGCCCCACATTGGCGTGCTGGGGTGACTGTGCCACCCACCCGTGCCCACCACCATGACCGCGGTGCCCCTCTCAGCTCAGCAGACATCGCTCCTCCATTGTGGGATCGCGGCCATGCCTCGGAACAAATGCAGCGTCACTTCTTTTTGTCCGTCCGTCTGTTCATTTAAACGTATACTTAGAACTGCACTTTGTCAAGAATCTTCCCTTTTTACTCCCCCGTCAACTGAGATTTTTCCTTTTAAAACATTGCAAGCCGATTTATAGAGCAGTTCCAATCCTAAGTGCTCGAGTGCTTAGAAATCCCCTCTGGTGCTTGGTTGAACAAGGGAATCACAAGAAAACGAAAATGCAAAAACTGAACTTCGGGGGGTGGTCTGTGCCTTCCAGCATCTTGTACAGCGAACCCTGACTCGTGTCTTTTTACCCCCAAAATACCCACCCTCAGTAGCGATCGAATCTGCCACTCTCAAAATAAGTTACTTGCATTTATTCCAAATAATCTCGTTTACTCTCGACTGTTTATGCAAATTGTATAAGGTTTCTTATGCCCAGGCTTGAAAAGTGAGTTCCCAGTAGACAAGAGGCGGCTCCCCATCCTGAAATCATGGTATTTATTTACAGAAGAGAGATCTTACAGGAATTCTCTGCTCGAGTCCGTTCTAACACTGCGGCAGGTGCGAGCGTTACAGGAGGTAGAGGCCGCGTGTGTGGGTACCAGTCAGCCACGAGGAGCCGCCACCGCAGCTGGCAGCGAGAAACAAAGACCAGAGACTGCCAAACCCCCAGTGTTTAGGTGACAGGATCGTCTGCAGGGTCTTGGCCCTTGGTTTACTGTGGGGGCTCGGGCCTGCCCGGCCCCCTTCTAAAGTGCAATGCAAAAGGGACATCACATATATGCAGCGTTTGTTTGGAAACTTTTTATTTTTTACTCCTTTGTTTTTCTTTTGCAGTTATTAAATCTGTATGCATGGAATTTTAAACCTCTGCCACACGTATATCCATCGATGGGCATTATTACCGTGTCATGTAAAGGGTCAGTTTTGTTACGCAACACGCAGACGCTGTTCTCCGCCTTGTTTTTCCAGATTTGTGTTTTTTTTTTTCCGTCATTTCTTCAAGGGAAACTAAATCATTTAGTTGGAGCAAAGCTTTACGCGTGTCAGCGTGCTTCTGTGTGGCTGGGCCGTGATGCCGAGTGAAAACCGTGGTGAGATCCGGGGACCCTGCAACGGGTCCCCTCCATTGGGCCGGCCACCGGCTTGCTCTGAGTCCTTCAGCCCCAGAGAGAGTAAACTTTCCAGAGTCGTATGTGTGTGTCTCCTACGCGGGGTGAAGCCTCTTCCTCCCCTTGCCTGTCCCCTCTGGCCACCCACACGTCTCAGACACCGAGCCCCTGTTCCACTAGCCCAGCAAGGCCCCGGACTTCAGAAACCGTGAACCAGAACTGCCAGCGTGTCCCAAAGAGCCCAGTGGGCATAGCCCCGGCCAGGCCCAGCAGTCCACTGCACCGCCGTCCAGGGCCCCCACTTCTCTCCCCACAGCCCCTTCCTCATCTCTTCCCATGGGTCCCCGTCCCCGGGCCATGCATTCGGGGATCCTAGCCCGCCCAGTGCCCGGGTGACGCATACGACATGGCATCAGGCCGCAGGCCCACTCACACCACCACTTTGTGCTTCCTGCTGCCCCAGCCACCTCTGGGTGGGACCCTTCCCCAGGTGAGGCTTGGGGGACGCCGGGGTGTCCCCACCAACTCAGGGCCCCGCAGGGTGCTGGCCGTGGCTCGGCAACAGGGGCTGTGCTGGTTTAGGACACCCCCGGGTGCCCCAGGCCTCCCATTAGCACAGCTGCCTTTAGTTCTTTCAGAAGGGAGAAGAGGCATCTATCTTGTGGGCTGTTGACTCTCCCAGTATGTAAAACCCATTATCTAAATGTGTATTCAGTTTCATTATTCATTATTTCTATACCGAAAGAAAATTTTTAACGAAGGGAAAAAAACAACAGCAATAACATTCATATCTACGGAGCAGCTAACTTGTCCACGTAATACCCTGCTTTTCATACAGAACTAGCCAGTGTAAAGACAATTAACATGTAAATACCTTTTTTCCTTTTACACCGTTGTATTATACGTGTATATGGTGGTTCCTTTTTCAGAAACTTTTTCTTACCTGGTAGTTGTCTTGTTTTCTGAGTTGTTTTTAACTGAGGGAAAAAAAAAATATGCTCGTCTGCTAGAGGGAAGAAGAACCCCCTTGCCAGTCCTCCACTGACTGGTGCCCTGTCCGCCCCGGTTCACGAGGAGCTGAGCTGCAGGGGGCGTGTGTGATACACCCTCTCCTGCGGCCCCCACGCTTCAGCCGTGTTTGTTTTCTGATTGAGGTTCGATCCCCCTGCCCCCACCCCGACCGTTCACAGGGTTGAGGGAGGCATTTTGTTCTTGCTTTAAGTCCATTACGGAAAAAGACCACCTCGCCCTTCCTAACCGCCAGGAGCACCCTGCGTCCCGCCCCGAGTCCCCCATGCTGCTGCTAATGACAATATTACGACTTACTCTACTATTCGAGAACTATTTTTATGTAATTAATGTATGCTTTCTTGTTTATAAATGCCTGATTTAAAAAAAAAAAAAAAGAAACTGCTTGGCATATTTATCTACTCCTGTGTACTTGTTAGTCCTTCGGTCCTGCCTCCCGCCGCCCTCTGGCACAGACTGTGCAGTAAAGGACTTGAGAGCGTCAGGCGGCTTGCTTGTGCCCCCAAGCCCCCTCTCGTGGGCAGGTGGCTGGTGGACGCTTGTCCCCCTCCTCTTAGGGTCGTGTCGGGGTCCTAGAACCCTGAGCACGGGGAGGGGAGCAGAAGGGTTCTGTTGGCTGGTCACACCGTTGGCCTTTGGTTGCCAAATGGATATGGGCCAGGGTGGGGGGGCTCAGCCTCCTCCAGGCCACTGGACAGGCATTCCCTGACTGGGGTGCCCTACCTGCTGCTGGTTCACGAGGAGGTGCTGGACTTTTTGTGGTCCACTCTCCTGCCCTTGTCCGCCCCGTGGTCAGTGGGATCCCCTGGTGGGCTGGCAGTGCTGGGAGGGGCCCCCCTGGGGGCCTGGAGGCAGCTGAGATGACAGCTTCCCCAGGGCAGGGCTGGCCTCTACGCAGACCCCGCCCCAGTTTTTGCGGGAAAATCCCCACTCCATCCATAGGTGTGGATCCCCCACCCAGGCCCCAGGTTAGGGTTAAAGGGGGCACACAGGAGGCCCCCCAGCATCTCCCTCAGTCACAGCCCATCCACTTCTCAGGGCTCTCTCCCTGCCCTCCAGGCCCAGCCCCCAGCCCCCACTGGCTGCCCCTCAGGGTGCCACCTAGAGCCAGGGACACAGGCTGGGCTGGTGGGGTGGGGGTGCGGGGCGTCGAGCAGGGGAGCCGAGCCACCTCCAGGCTCGCTGGGGCCCTAAGTCAGACTGTGCAGCTCCTAGTTCTGCCTGGGATCCTGGACCCTGAGGTGGCTGATGGTGCAAGTGAGAGGCCCAGGCTTCAGACCCATCTCCATGGTGGGGACAGCTGAGGCCCCAATGTCCTGGGCTTATGAGGAGTCTGTGGCCAGTTGGGGCCCTTGCCCACCAGGGGCCTTGGTGCTGGCATCATGGAGGTCCAGTGGCCACCTTGTCCGGGTTTAGCAACATCTCTCAGGGCTCCAGGCTCTGCTTTCTATTTCCCAGGCTGCCCTGAGACTCCCTGACCCTCAGGTACCGCTAAATCTGTGCAGCATTGAAGGGTTCTGAGCACCCTAGCAGGCAGAACCGGACCCTCATGGAACCCACCCTCCCCAGTTTTTCCTGGCAGCCCCTGCCTTTGGGCCAGGGGAGGACAAGGGTGGGGAGGGCAAAGAAGTACGCTCTGCCCATCCCTGAGTTCCCAGCTCAGGACTGCCACGATCCAACCTTCCTTGCCCAGCCTCTGCAGCCCCCACTGCAGAGCTGCCCAGCCTGAGTGAGGCCCCTTTTCCAGGTAGGGCCTGCTTCCACGCCAACACCCCCCCCAGACCTGGGAACAAAGGAGAGCCCAGGGCAGAGGTGGCTGCTTGTGGGGCCCTAGGGCCAGCACTAACTCAGTACCCCACTCTAACGCCTAGTCCCTGACCCTGCCTGCCTACGGCTTTCACTTCCCCTGAGTCACCAGCAGTGAGGGGACCCCACCCGGGCCCGCAGGTCTCAGCTGTGCCCGGCTGTCTTCCGCTGTCTTCCTCTTGGGTCTTGCCTTCCTCCTGCCCACTGTCAGCCCCAGCCCCTCACCGTCAGCCCCCACCCCCGCCCACCCCGTGGTCAGGCCTGGCAGATGTTGGGAGGCGGACCTAGGCACGCCCTCGTGGAAAGAGGAAGCCGCCGCCCAGCTAAGAGGCAGCTGGCTGCCTGTCTTTCCCCTGTCCCTGGAACCCGGGGGACGGGCTGGGGGCTGTGGGGGCAGGGGGCTGTGGTGGGGACCCCTGCCGTTAGCATGGACTCCCTGCTCCCACCCGCCTACATCTCAGGGACTCTCCCCATACGGAGGGTTCTGCCTGGGAAGGGCCCCTCGGCTGGAAGTCCCCTAGGGCCTGGAGGGCTCCCCTACACCTGGGCTTCCCTCCGCTGGGCAGCTGTCTCGGCCAGCCAAGGGCCCCCACCCATTGCCTGGCCCACCCTGCTGGGACCCCACCCAGGCCTGGCTACCCCACACACCCTCACCTTTACCTTTGCCTGTCGAATTGTCACCCACATCTCTTTAGCCAGAAGCCTTCCCCCCACCCACCCCCGGGGCAGGCCAAGGATGAGGCCGTGTTCATAGAAAGGACCTCCCCACAACT